ATAGTCAAGGCGGCGGGTAGAGGCGAAGTCAGCGACCGCAGCGACAAGAGCGTCAAGGCACGAGACCGGAACAGACGGGTCGGTAACGAGAGAGGCAAGGACCCGAGGAACAAGAGGACGAGCGGCACGAAGGTAGTCAGACAGCGGGGGGGGTGCAACAACAAGGGAGGACGGAGGAGGCGACGGCACAAGGGGAGGACGAGACGCGTGGGCACGAAGCATCATAGGGTGGGAGCGCAAGACAGGCGAGACAGGACGAGCACGGGAAGGAAGGTGAGACCAGACTTGCGACGGAGGAGTCGGGTCAGGAGACGGGGGAGGGGACACAGGAGGGGAACGAGGGGGAAGACGGGCCGGGGACGAGTCCGGTGGAGGGAACACAGGGCCGTAGACGGGAAGAGGAGGAGACGTTCGGAGAGGAACAGACGCAGGGTCGGGGGACGGAAGGTCGAGCAGGCGAAGGGCTGACACCGGCGGGGACTGCTGCTGCGGCGGCACAACGACGACACCTGGACCGCAAGCTGCTCCTCGGCTACCACCGACACACTCCACACCAGCACCTCCAGAGGGACCACCCCTAGGGCAACCGGGACGAGCACCCCTACAGTCAGCGAACGGGTGTTGGGACGGCGGCGGCGGCGGCGGCAGCGACAACGACGGCTGCAGCGGCGGTGGAGGAGGGGACTGGGGAGGGGACGCCGCGGGAGGGGCGGCCGGCGAGGACTGCGCAGCAGGGCCACCAGAGTCAGAGGACTCCTCAACCGGGTCTACCGACGGAAGGGGGGTGACGTGGGACACACCAGAGGGGGCAGGACGGGGAGGAGGAGGAGGAGGGGCAGGGACTACCGGGGAAGGAGTGACCAGGAACAGGGGGGGGTAACCGGGGGACCGCGGTGGGAGAAGCGACGGTAGTAAGAGACGGACTCGTCAAATGTGACGTCGCGAGAGTGAAAGAAGCGGTGAGACGGCGGGTGGTAAAAGTGCCAGTCGGACGCGTCAAGGGGAAAACCGAGGAAGACACAGGGAAGGGTGCGGGCAGTGAGCTTGTCCATGCCGGAGGCACGGACGTGAGCAAGGCAGCCCCAGACGTGCAACGCAGACGCGTCACCAGGAGACCCAGTCCAAAGACGGGTCGGCAAAACCTGCGGCAGCTTGGGATGCGGCCACAGGTTAAGCTGGTGAGCAGCGTAGCGCACGGCGAACGGCCACAGAAAATGGGGAGCACCGGCATGGATCATGGAGGTGCGAGCAACCTCCATGAGCAAGTCGATGCGTCGCTCAGCGACCCCATTCTGCTGTGGGGAGTCCGGCAGGGTGAACGTCTGGGTGATGCCCTCCGCACGACAGAAGCGACCAAGGACACCTGAGGCAAACTCGCCACCACGGTCGGAGTGAAGGCGCAAGACAGGGAGACCTCGGTGGACACGCGCAGAGACAAGCCAGGGGATGAGAGCGCCAGGCACGTCGGCCTTGCGCTCCAGGGGAAAAACTGTGGTGTAGCGAGTGAAGTCGTCGACAAGCACAAGGTAGTAGCGCTCTCGACGCGGCCCAGGGACGGGGGCGGGGCCCCAGACGTCCAGGTGCAGGGTCTGCAGCGGCGTGGCGCTAGGGGGAAACGAGGAGGAGTGAGGGGCACGGCGAAGCCGACCCGCGACACAAGGCGTGCAAGGTGGGGCTGGGGAGGAGGGAAAAGCGGGGAGAGAACCTGGGAGACCAAGGACAAGACCGTGCTGGGACATGTGACGCAGATGCGGGAGCGCAGGGTGACCTAGGCGGTGGTGCCAAAGGAGAGTCGGGTGAGTGAGGGACCGACAGGAGCAGGCAGCAGCAACCTGGGTGAGTGCTCCAGCCGGGGGGGTCACGGTGTCTAGAGTGAACAGGCCGGACACCGGGTCCCGGGGGAACGTGGACAGGGGGGCACCAGTGGCGGCCTCGGTACAGACATCATACCGTTCGTGACCAGGGAACGTAGTGGTGACGCCAAGGTCCTGGAGGCAGCCGACACCAACTAGGTTCCTGGAGAACGAGGGGATATGCAGACCTGTGAGAGTGCCCGAAGGAACCGCCGGACAGGGAAGGGTGGTGGAACTGCGGGCGACTACCGGACCGCCGGAGGGGTCAGCAAGAGAAACGGCAGCAGGAACAGGAAGCGGCGTCAGGGTGGTGAAGTCGCGGAAGAAACACCGGGAAGCGCCAGAGTCCAAGGTGAAGGAAAGCGAAGCAGAGGCGTCTGGCGACGGAACGACGGCGGAAGCACCAAGACTACACAAAGCAGGGGATCCTACGCCTGACGCAGCAGGGGAGGCTTAGCTAGGCACACCTACACTAGCCGACAGTGAGTAATAAGCGGGAAGCACACTAGAGTCATCAGCATACATCACATGCAGAGCAGAAACAATGGCATCCATGTCCATGTCAAAAATCTGAATCTTACGACTAAGCAAACTGTGCCAGTCCGGAAGGTCTGGCGACGGGCCGAAGCGCTGACGAAAGAGGTCGTCCAGGCGACGAAAACAGCGGGGAGTGGAGTGACCGATCTTACCGCAAACGAAGCCGCGGCGAGGACCGGTCTGGATCTGGTACTGACAACGCACGCCTCCAGAGCCACCACTCGGCACACCACCACGCGCCCGGCCACCGCCAGCGCCGGGCCACCCGGGCGGGAGGACACTCGTCTGCCGCGTCTGCGACGGCTGCTGCGGCTGCTGCGAAGGCTGCGACTGCGGCGGCTGCTGCGGCTGCTGCAACTGCAGGGGCGGCGGCTTAGCTGGACTGGGCAGGGTCCCCTCGTCCGCTCCAGCACCAGACGACCTGACTCCGCCACCACCCCCTCCCGCACCCCCGCCTCCTCCGCCGCGCCCAACTTTGGGGCGGCGGCCCTTCCCCGAACGAAACTGCGCTGCAGCAGCGGTCTCAGCCACTGCAGCAGAGCCGTCGGAGAAGGTACACTGAGCAGGGGCACAACCCTGAAAGATAGGGATCGGCACGGTACCGCTCGCCTGGGCGATGGAGCGGTGGCGGGTCTCAATCACAGTCAGGGTGTCTACAAAGTCAGTGAGGGTGAGGTCTACGGGGTGAATGCTAAGGAAGTGGTCGCGGGCGACAGCAAGGCGGTCAGGGAGGCGGGTGGCAAGCAGGTAAAGGGTAGAGGTAATGGGCGGTTGGTGGGCTCTAAGCTGTGCGTCAGTGCAGGCAGCGCGCCAGGTCTCATCTATCGAGCGCAGGTGGGCAGCGAGGTCAGAGACAGTGGGGAAAGATGCAAGGTCAGGAAAGAGCATCGGGAGGATCAGGCGACCCACCGAGGCAGCCGGAGGGGTGGAATAGCGCTGGATGACAGCATCTAAGTATGCCCGAGCAGTAGTGAGGGACCTAAAGCGAGGGCGCTCGGACGGGGGAAGGGCGTTGCTAATGTCAAGCTGGGCGACAGCATCGCGAGAAAGCCAGACAGAGCGCGCACGGGTAGTGGCAGCAGTAGACTCGCGCTCAGTGGGTGTGGAGCCAGCGGGCAGAATAGCAGGGGGGTCTGGGCAGGGGAGCGTACCGTCAAGGTGTGCGGAAAGCGGTTCACCATCCTGCCGCTGGCCAGTGAGTTGGCGCCGGAGGTCGACAAGCCACGCCTCGAACTCCAGAGGCTGGCCTTCAGCGTCGAAGCGAAGCTTCGCCGCCATCAGGGGCAGTGCAGGACGGGACAGTACAGTGTACTGAAGTGCAGGGCAAAGCAGAGCAGTGCAGGGCGGTGCAGTGCGGGGCAGGGCAGTGCAGTGCGGTGCGGGGCGGTGCAGGGCGGTGCAGGGCAGTGCAGTGCGGAGCAGGGCGGTGCAGGGAGGGGGGGGGGGGGGGGGGGAACCGTACCAGTGAGGATGAAGGGGCCGGGGCAGGGATGAGCGCAGGGGCCGGGCCGGTGCAGCGGGGCCCGGCAAACACGGCGGGGCCGGGCAGGGCGCAACGGGGACGGGCGGGTGCGACGGGGCCGGTCCGGTGCAACGGGGCCGGGCGGGTGCGACGGGGCCGGGCCGGCGCGACGGGACCGGGCAGGTGCGACGGGGCCGGGCGGGTGCGACGGGGCCGGGCGAGGGCGACGGGGCCGGGCGGGCGCGACGGGGCCGGGCGGGTGCTACGGGGCCGGGCGGGTGCGACGGCTCCGGGCCGGTGCGACGGGGCCGGGCGGGTGCGACGGGGCCTGCAGGCGTGACGGTGGCCCAGGGGGGGCACTACGGGGCCCAGGAGGGGCGCAACGGGGCCGGGCGGGCGCGATGGGGCCGGACGGGTGCGACGGGGCCGGGCGGCTGCGACAGGGCCGGGCAGGGTGCGACGGGGCCGGGTGGGTGCGACGGGGCTGGGCAGGTGCGACGGGGCCGGGCAGGGCGCGACGGGGCCTGAAGGCTTGACGGGGCCCAGGAGGGGCGCTACGGGGCCCAGGAGGGGCGTTACGGGGCCCAGGAGGGGCACTACGGGGCCCAGGAGGGGCCCAGGAGGGGCGCGACGGGGCCCAGGAGGGGCGCTACGGGGCCCAGGAGGGGCACTACGGGGCCCAGGAGGGGCCCAGGAGGGGCGCGATGGGGCCCAGGAGGGGCGCTACGGGGCCCAGGAGGGGCACTACGGGGCGAGGGGCGCAGCAAGGCCCGGGAGGGTCGCAACAGGGCTAGGAGGTCGCGACGGGGCTATAGGGTCGCGACGGGGCCCAGGGTGTCGCGACTGGGACTAGGGGATCGCGACGGGACTAGGGGGTCGCAACGGGGCCCAGGAGGGGCGCGGCAGGGCTAGGGGCACGACGGGGCCCAGTGGGTCGCGATGGGGCTAGGGGGGAGGCACGGCGGGGCCTAGCTAGGGGACGAGCGGAAGCGGTAGGTGGGGGGATCCTAACCTACGCGTGATACCATATCAAACTGAGAGAAGTGAATAGGTAGGTAGAGGGAGAGTACAGATAGATATACCTAAGTATTGTACCCTCTAAGAGGTGACCCTATACAGTCTATGCAAACATAACAAATACACATGTTTGACAAGAATATCCTCAAAACACAGTATTGATAAGTGGGTGCAATAAGAATCACTAGATGTGATTTTCTAAGAAAGAAGGTGCCAGGCAGCCTTGCGGCTGACGCTGTGCTTGCCTTCTTAAAGTCAAATCCAGTCATACCTATAAAACAATCCAACTTCCCAAGTGAGGTAACAATCCTAATCCTCACCACCATCTGTCTCCTCCCCATCCTCCGTCCCTCCTTGACCTGAAGCAACAACCATGACCCTCCCCTCCGGGCCCACAGTCACCACCTTTCTCACACTCCCACCCCCCTCACCCCACCTACTATGCCTGCCACCCGGCACGGACATGAGCAGAAATTGCTTCTGGGACGCCAGAAACCAGGCCTCATTCCGCCGTGCCTTGATCTCACAAAGAACCTCCCCCGCCACTTTCCATGCAAAGCTCAGCGGTGGGTTGTACCGCTCCTGAAATCCAGTGCCCCGTGCCTTATCCTCAATATGCTTCGTGGCCTTTTCCTTGGCGTGCTTGTACGTTGCCTCGTAAATTACGCTTGCCGCACGCAGGATACGCATCGGCACACAAGGCTCCTCAAAAGATGGCGACCAGCCATCATAGAGAATCTGCACACAAGGGTAGCATTGGGGGTGGCAAAACATGTAAGAGGAGAAGGAAACGTGATGCAGCAGGGAGGGAATAGAGGGGGGTCAAACTACAGCCAGGATATCTCAACCATCAAAGACACCAGCCTACGGAACCAACAGAAACCAGCCATCCGAAGCACACTGCCTGAGTTGTAGAGTTTGTGTCCGTTCATTCTGCCCACTCACCCTCCGATAGTGCTCCTTCTGCAGCTGCATCTGCAGGTCGCGCTGCTTGTTAGAGAGGTTGCGGCGGAAGATCTCACTGATGGCCTTGTTGTACGCCCAGCAGTGCTTGCTCCACTCCCCCAGCAGCTTCCTGTGCTCCTTGAACTCCGCCGATGGTGCGCACGCGGGGAACAGGATGAGGTCAGGGTCGTGCTCAAGTGCTTTGAGTAGGTCGCGCTCTGGAGGGGAAGGGTGGGAGGGGTGGTGGAGAGAAGCAGGAATAGCGCAGGGAAGGTTGGTAGGAGAGTGGTCGAAAGGTTTAAAGGAGAAAGGTGAGAGGCGCTCAGGGGTGGTGAGAGGCGCTCAGGGATGGTGAGAGGCGCTCAGGAGTGGTGAGCTGCGCTCAGGGGTGGTGAGATGCGCCCAGGGGTGGTGAGAGGCGCTCAGGGATGGTGAGAGGCGCTCAGGAGTGGTGAGCTGCGCTCAGGGGTGGTGAGATGCGCCCAGGGGTGGTGAGAGGCGCTCAGGGATGGTGAGAGGCGCTCAGGAGTGGTGAGCTGCGCTCAGGGGTGGTGAGATGCGCCCAGGGGTGGTGAGATGCGCCCAGGGGTGGTGCGATGCGCCCAGGGGTGGTGCGATGCGCCCAGGGGTGGTGCGATGCGCCCAGGGGTGGTGCGATGCGGAGCTGCATACATGCACTGCATAGCACGTGAGACACACGCTTCAAGCTCTGTGCTACAGCTCTCAAGGCATTGCTGCACAAACGGCGTTACAGTACACAAGGCATTGCAGCACACACGGCATTACAGTTCACAAGGCATTGCAGCACACGAGGCATTGCAGCACACAAGGCATTGCAGCACAAGAGGCATTGCAGCACACGAGGCATTGCAGCACACGAGGCATTGCAGCGCACAAGGCATTGCCAGCACACGAGGCATTGCAGCACACGAGGCATTGCAGCACACGAGGCATTGCAGCACACGGGGCATTGCAGCACACGAGGCATTGCAGCACACAAGGCATTGCCAGCGCACGAGGCATTGCAGCACATGAGGCATTGCAGCACACAAGGCATTGCCAGCACACGAGGCATTGCAGCACACGAGGCATTGCAGTGCACGAGGCATTGCCAGCACACGAGGCACTGCAGCACACGAGGCATTGCAGCACACGAGGCACTGCAGCACACGAGGCATTGCAGCACACGAGGCATTGCCAGCACTTCCCTTCTTGCAGTGCGCTGCATTAACGCCGGCACTCATGGTCTGACTCAACAGCCGTGTGTAATGAGTCGACTCAAAAATCGACTCATTACACACTCCCCATCACTCATGGTCTCACTCAACAGCCCGACTAAGCAAGATCATTCCCCATAATGAAGCGAAAGTAGAGGCGCGTGGGGCAGCATCCTACCACCACCCAGCCAGATCACACGACAGCCCGTGCGACTGACCGTTGGGACGCGCCTTGGCCTGTTGCACAAGGTCATAGATCTGTCCCATCACAGTGCGCGAGCGGAACACAGTCGCAGACGCCGCAGCCTGGGCTGGGGTCACCGCATAGTGCGGGCGATGGGGCCGCTCCAATACACGGGGTATGGACACCTGGGGCAGGAGGGGAGGGGAAGAGGGAGTGAGAGGAGGAGACGGAGAGACCGAGGGGTTGGCATCGGACGGCATTGTGTTTGATTGGGGTGAGAAACGAGCTGGGAATGAAGGAGTCATCGAGCGGGAGAGGAGGCGCACATGTGCAGTCACGGGACAAAACATGCGCCCACACAAGCGTGCCACACATCACACAAATAACGCATCTGTCCCCCCGGTTTTCCCGAGTTACTGACTGAGGTGGCCCGAGTGAGTGACTGACCAGTTCGCCGGCCTTTGGAGCATCCAGCGCCTGATCGTTTATGGATGCTTGCACACAAGACGCTCGCAGCATGGCACTTGCGAGCATAGTAGTGACTGAGCGCCCAAAGGACACTGCACAAATCCACTGCCCAAGTGACTGACTGAGACTGAGACTGAGACTGAGACTGGGACTGAGACGGGGACTAAGGCTGACCTCCTCGCCGGTCTTTGACGCATCGAGTGCGCGCTCGTAGATACGCACGAGCTGCTCGCAGTACGCGTGGTGCGGGCCGTACTCGTCCATGTACGACTCATGCAGGTTGTAAGCCCGCCCCGTCACACTGCCACACACAGCCAGTATGCAGGATTGAGGGCGTTAAGGGGAGTGGGGAGAGGAAGGAGGGAAGAAACGCAGCAGGTGTGGTGGGTTGGGCAGAGAGGGAGGGAGCGATGATAGTTTATGCACGGCTCATGCATTGCGACGTGTGTTGCGGGTCATGTATGCACCCCCTCGCACTGCCATGGGTATTGTGAGCGCAGAACGGTGCGAGCAGTGAACAAAATTGGAGGGGGGGAGGGAGAGGGGGGAGTGGGGAGGGTGGGGAGAGAGGGAAGAGTAGGAATTCAAGAATTGGGACGAGAAATAGGGAAATCGAGGTGAAAGCCTGGAACAAGGAACACAGACCAAGTCCTCTGTCTTCCTCTTTCGACATTTTTTTCTCCCCAATGTACCATCACTCACTTCCTTCCACACCCACACCCACACCCACACCCACCAGCACCCACACGCACCAACACGCACCCATACACACACCCACCTTCACGCACACGCACCCACATTAGCACCCATGCACACCTAAACCCCGATGCCATCTTGCTCCACACGGCCAGCAGCGCTTTTTCCAAATCCCCCGGCTTCAGGGCTGCCGGTGCCTTCCCCCCATCCACCGGCACTCGAACGGTTCGTGGCGGGGGGTCCATCTCCTGGAAAGTACTCGTCACCTGCACGCCGAGGGCTCCCCAGGGGCATGGCACAGGGAGCAGGGGTGGTTGTGGGGGTAGTTGTGAGGCGCCTCAGACCAAGAGGGGTTCGTGCCGGGGGGTTCCACCTCCCCGAACGCACTCGACACCTACAGAGAGCAGGCATTGGGGGGGTATGGGTATGGCCGAGCGCAGGGGAAACAGCTGGGAGGGGAAGCCCGGGAACTCGCCTTGGTGTTACAGGTTTAGGGTGCTTACTACCTATCCCTTGCACGGCCAAGGCCTCCTCCTACATTCCACCCCAGTTGTCCAGCCCAGTATCGAAACACTCGTGGCTGCGCAACCCGACGTCCCAGCATCGATAATGCCGTTTCCCGCCACGATCCGGGTTGCGCTATTTGGGTAAGTGCAATCCATTTTCCACGCCCAAAGCTGAGCACTGGGAGCGAGCGAGCGAGTGCTCCGTCCATGTTTACGGAGAACAGATGGGATAGGATATCCGCCGTCCTGCTCGCCCCACCCATGGTATCCGACAATGTACAGGGTCGACTCAAATCACACACACACACGCACACAAGCGCACCTGGGGATGGAAGCACACCAGAAAGGTGTCCCCATCCAGGTGGTCCCCTGAGATGGCTTCCGGCAGTGATTGAAGTCAACTCAAAGCACGCAGGGCCAGAAAGAACACAAGCACACATGCACACACGCACACAAGCACACAGAAGCGCACCTGGGGATGGAAGCAGACCAGAAACGTGTCCCCGTCCAGGTCGCCCCCGCTCATCGTGTCCGTCACCGACCGCGCCCCCGTCACGGGGAAGATCACGCAGTAGCGTGCGCCAGGCGGCAGCAGGGCGGCAATGGCCGGCGAGTGGACGGCGTTCATTCGGCGCAGGTGGCCGGGGTGCAGGGAAGGGCTTCGGTACATGACACAGGGGCCTGTCACCGGGCCGTCCTTGCTGGGACAGGGAGTGGGGATGGGGGGAGGATTGGGGAGTGGAGGGATGGGAGAGGGGAGACCCAGTATTGAGTCCTCTTAAGACGAAGCGCAGGTAGGTGGGGTGCAGGGAGGAGCATGCCTGCATGCCTGCATGTATGCATGTATGCATGTATGCATGCCTGCATGTATGCATGTATGCATGTGAACACCGAGCACCTGCATACAGAACACGTCGGGCATATGCCCATTTCTGCAAGTATACGGCACGCACGCAATAGCGCACAAAAGAGTGCACAATAGCTCAAGCACGAGTGCACAACACTGCAAGCAAGAGTGCACAATAGCGCAAGCACGAGTGCACAATAGCCCTACCAAGAGTGCACAATAGCGCAAGCAAGAGTCGTCAATAGTGCAAGCAAGAGTCCTCAATAGCGCAAGCAAGAGTGCACAATAGCGCACGCAAGATTGCACAATAGCGCACCCAAGGGTGCACGGGGGCGCAAGCGGGAGCGTACAGCAGCACGACGACTTGGTCTGGTTGCAGTGTGCCAGTGGGGTCCGCCACCCCCATCAGATAGTACGATCGCTCTGCCGCCACGTGCCCCTTTTCGAGAGACTGTCGGGAACCGGGGACAATGGGGAGAGGGGCAATAACAGTTGCAATACGGGCAGATGGAGGAGGGAGGTGATGTTAGACAGAGAACAGGAGAGATAGGATAGAAAACTGCCCAGCGTGCACGAGTGAATGGGTAGGGGGGGAGGGAATCAAGGCATCGGGAGCGCTGCAAATGTGCACCTTGCTTGATATATACATCAACGTGCAGGGGATGGGTTGAGATAATGAGTGGCCTCGCATGCAGTGGGAAACAGAACAGATGGGTTCGACTGAAAGTGAAAGCAGGAGAGTGTGAGAGAGAGTCGAATTGGGGGTAGGTCAACAGAGGTAGGAAGGAGGGTGGATACGGGATGGGAGGCGGTGAGTTGACTATTCGCGTGGACGAGAGAAAATGAGTGCATGTCAATGTGTGCATACAATGTGTGCAGCCAAGAATGAGCGCATGGGACAATGAATGCATGACAGTGACCTCTGCTGCGTTCTTGAGTCGCTTCTGAAGCGCGTCCTGCAGGTAGGGCTCGGAGAGCGGGATGCCACAGGCCAGCATCTGCAGGGGCTGCATGGAGTAGGCCAATGAGGACGAGTGGCTCGCACTGCGCAGGAGGTCTGCTCGTGGCGCATAGGGGCATGCACACACGCACACGCCCACGCACACGCACACGCATACGCACATGCACACAAACACACAAACATACTTAGATATGAAAGTGGTATGGGGGCCATGGGGCAAGACAAGGTGCCCAAGAGAACGCATTGGCAGGCCATACGTCCATGCTCCATCAACCACACACAGACATGGACGCATGCTTGCACCCACACACGCACATGTGCCTCCATGTCAGCGCGTGCATAGAGCATGCTGGGAGCACAGCACGGAGAACCAACATGGTCTGTGCCAACTGCTGTCTCCGGTGACATCTCTTCTCAAACGCCCTTCCACTCCCCCCAGAACACCCCCACTTCCCACACCCCACAGCGGCGACACTCGCGCACTAGTGAGACGGGTGCGCACTAGTGAGACGGGTGCGCACTAGTGAGACGGGTGCGCTCTAGTGAGACGGGTGCGCTCTAGTGAGACGGGTGCGCTCTAGTGAGACGGGTGCGCTCTAGTGAGACGGGTGCGCTCTAGTGAGACGGGTCCGCTCTAGTGAGACGGGTGCGCTCTAGTGAGACGGGTGCGCTCTAGTGAGACGGGTGCGCTCTAGTGAGACGGGTGCGCTCTAGTGAGACGGGTGCGCTCTAGTGAGACGGGTGCGCTCTAGTGAGACGGGTGCGCTCTAGTGAGACGGACACACTCTAGTAAGACGGACACGCTCTAGTGAAACGAGCGCGCTCAAACTAATTTCTCTGCTCCCCACCCACATGTACACGCACGCCCTGCAAGTCACATTTGACGGCGGAGCGTCTGCCTGCAGGCCCTTCACACACACACACACACAGACACACACGCACACACGCACACACACACACACACACACACACACACACACGCACACACACACACACACACACACACACGCACACACACACACACACACACACACACGTGCACACACACACACACACTCCCCCCCTTTCCAAAGCATCCACAGCATTAAACCCCTTTCTCCTCACACTTGGCAGCAGCGTATACGCCGGTGGGCACTTCCATGCTCTGTGCACACTGCCTGCGGGCCAGGGAGAGGAAGAGCTCCTGCGGCACGCCACGCGCCACCAGCAGCAGCAGCAGCGCACGGTTGAACGTCGCCTCGGAGGGGGCCTTGCTGCTCGTGGGAAGCGCAAGGGGGAGGGGGGGCTGGTGACGTGGCCCAAGAACAGTCATTCAGCTTTGACGATTAAAAAATTAATGCAACCAGCAAGAGCAGCAGCAGCGATTGAATGAAATGCGAACAGCGAAGGGCAAACATGAGTACGTTGCTGCTCGTAGGACGAGCCGGCAGGGATGGGGCGAGGAGAAGGGGAAAGACAGGGGAGGAGAGGGGACTTAGGGAACAGTCAAGGGAATGTGGAAAAGTGTACGGCCCTATGGGGAAACTGGTTGGTGGAAGCGAGGGTGTGGGAGAGAAAACACCCTGCACATGAACTCCTAGAAAGGTTATACAAGCCCTGGCACATCGATGGGCTACAGAGTCAGACGAACCACCAGCACGACCACGACCTTAAAGCCCGAGTACCAAGTTAATCAAACCTATTAGGTTTGGTGCTACCTTGACAGACGGGGTTGTTCTGCGTTGTGCAGGAGGTTTGGTTGGTGAGCGTCGCGAGGTTCGGAAAACGCAGGCGAAGTGGTGAGTTTCAGAAAATTAAGTGTGGCGATCGTGGCTGATGGTATTTGCGACACTTATTCCAGCCCACCAATTTCAGGGGGTTTCATACCTAATAGATTTGGTCCTCAGTTCAGGCAATTTGGAACTCGGGCTTTAAATGAAACAAACCACAGCACGCACAAACCCCTTCACGAAAAGGGATGTTCCACAGTGCCGCCCTCGAACCCCTCTCATTCCCACATGTGCTCGTGCATACACGCTACAAAAGCCTGTGCACTCGTCTCAATACAGTTCCCCCCCAAACCCAACCCAGCCCAACCCAACCCAAACCCACCTTGTGTCATTGACTTCTAGCTTGTTCACAGGAGCCATGCATCTACCGGGCCCCGTGCCCACATCCCTAGCTTGCAGCAGCCCTGGGTCAGGCTTAACCTTCACCATACTGTCTCGCACCACCACTTGCACTCCCGGCCGCACGCCCATAGAGGCAGGGAACTGCAGCGGGGAGGCGGATAGGAAGGGGAAGCAAGGTGAGAACACACGAGGGGGGGGGCTCAGAGGTGACTGAACCAGTAGAACAAACAACAGGAGGGCACGCGGGCGGCGGCAGGCTTGGCCGTCACGTCACTATGCTCTCCCACACCACACCACACCATCACATACTCTCCCGGCCGCACACGCATGGAACTGCAGAGGGGCGAGAACGAAACGTGAGACAGCGGGGGGCTCAGAAGGGACTCTCGAACAGCATGCTGGTTGAGGCACCCATGAAAGTTAGGCCAACATCCCCTCCCCTCTTCCAGATGGTTCAGGAACCGACCGACCTCCCGCCCGCCCGCCCGCCTGGCGGGCTGGCTGGCTGGCTGGCTAGCTGGCTGGCTGACAGACTGACTGACTGACTGACTGGCTGACTGACTGACTGACTGACTGACTGACTGACTGACTGACTGACTGACTGACTGACTGACTGACTGACTAACTGGAGCCACGTCACATCCTCATGCCCCATGACTCACCTGCTTGACGAGCAGCAGCGTGCCCTTAAAGCCCGAGTCTAGAATGGTAAAAATCCATGTTTACTGACCATGAAAACAGTGCCAAAAACGCTGGGCGAAACCAATTTCGGCAAAGCTCCTCTGGCGAAAACTATTTCTCTGCGAAAATTTTATGTTGCTCGCGACGCAAAAGAAACCCAACAACTTGCAATCAACAGTTCGCAAACAGTGACGACTTTGGGGGAGGGGGGGCGAACTGTACACGGCTGTTCTCGTGTCACGAGCCCCAGCAAAAAATGCGTCTAGAATGGTACCAGGCGTTTTCAAGTTCAGTATGAGTGAACAGTGAGTTCGAGGTTTGTCTCAAATAGCGAATTTCGCACGCTGCCCCATTTCCCCGAGGGTCGCGACGTGGAGGTACCCTTCACTGGGTTACTCACTTTTACGAAAACAAGTTCAGGAATCCTGAACTTGATAGCCAACCAATGTAGACTCGGGCTTTAAAGTGCATGCCGTTGAGGTTACCCCAGGAGTCACCTCAACACCCCCCCCTCTTCCAGGTGGCAATGGAACCGACTGACTGGCATCCCCAGCCCCCGCCATCCGCCATAGGCTCTCACCTGGGTGACGAGCAGCAGCGTGCCCTTGAAGAGCATGCCGTTGAGGTACCCCCGCACCTGCAGCACTGCCGGCCGCGGCAGTGCCACTCCGAGTGGCTGCTGCTGCTGCTGCAGGGAGGAGGCGGCAGAGAGGAAGGGGAGGCAGGGAAAGGGAGGACGATCGATAGGGATGAAGCGAGAACAGGGGTCTCATGAGAGAGGGTAAGGGAAGGAACTGACAGCAGTCAGGGCCTCCAAATGGGGAGAGTAACACAGTGTAAAGAGTGCGAGAACCACAAGCACTGCGTACTGAGCGGTGAACGGGACGAAGGTTTAGGGAGAGAGGGAGGAGTGAGAAGAACGGGGCTAGATGGGGAGTCAGAAACTAGAGAAGGGGGGGAAAAGAGAGGGGGGGGCGGGGGTGGGGGGGAGGTGGGGGGGGGCGTGACAGACCTGGTTGGGTGACGGCGATGAGGGGGAAGGGAGGGATGAGGAGGAGGAGGGTGGGGAACTGGAGAGGGGGGAGGGGGACAACGAAGGCAGGGAAGCAGCCGGCAGGTAGGCGACTCCGGATGTGACCTCCATGGGGGGCACGAGCGACGCCAGGATGAGACCTGTACCATCCGTGGGTATGCTGCCATCCTGCTCGGATGGCACGATCAGCGGGCCCATGTGAGGGGGTCGGACGGTGGAGGGGGGTGGGGAGGGTGGGAGTGAGGGAGTGAAGTGGCAGCAGGTAGGATAAGACGAGTGTGAAGGCATACGGTGCTGATGCAAAGGGGAGGAAAAAACAGCTACTTTTACGTCAATACTGCACTCGCCCATATTCCCCGCGAAAGCACGCAGATGCGGGAATTACACATTCCCAACCGGCCCCCCTCCCCCTTCCCCTATCCATCTCCTCTCCCCCTCCCCCCTCCCCCCTCCCCCCCCTGCTCTGGCGTCCTGTGTTCCTTAGACCAGGCACTTGTGTGTGTCTCTCTCTCCGTCCTCCCCCAGCCTGGTGCACCTGGCATTTGATATCCGGCACGATCTGCACGTCCTCTGCTCGTAGATTCATGAAAGAGTAGGTTTGGGAGAACAAGAGCTCGATTCTGCGCACCGACCATCATGCACAGAGGAACACGTATGGATATCCATACATTAATACATATATAGATACATATATATACGCATATATGTACGTGCACACGTACATGCGCACAAGTGCACAAGAACACGCACAAACCCCGCGCATGCGCACACACACACATGCACACACATGAACATACACACACACACCGACATGCACACACACACACACACACACACACACACACACACACACACACACACACTCACCCACCTCCAAACACAGCAAGGACGGAGGGCGGATGTATTGAAGCAAGGGACTGAGGTGAGACCACCTCGCCTACTCCATCCATCACCATGCAAAGCCATAACCAGCAGCCCCGTGCAGTGCTCTCCCACAAGCAGCAGGGCACTACCTGGGAGGGAGGGCGCTCACAAGCAGAGCCCCTCGCAAAATGGCCAGCACCCCGCAGCGTGTCTACAGGCAGCAGCAGCAGCAGCAGCAGCAGCAAGAAATGCATACCTGGCAGACGCAACAGAGAGAAAGAAGCCATACGGGGGCCTTCTGGCTAGCCCGGAGGAGGCACAGCGTACCTGGCAGCGGCCTTGTGGATGGTGGGGCACGTGTGGAAGTGGGCGAAGCAGGTCC